TCTTCCAGGACCTATATTTGTGCAGTATTTGATTCTGGGCAAGGTATCTCATCACTGAGTCTTTGTGTTCCTATATGTAAAATGGAAATTTAAAAATGTACCTTGTAAGGTTGCTGTGAAGCTAAGTAATGAGAGCGTCTATCGGGTTAACTTAAAACCTTTCTGTGCCTTTGCACATATAAGATGCACATTAACAGTAGTTATCACACATATGCATTCATGTCAAAAATACTAATAAGATTGAAGTTTCCTTTGCCATAGAAAATGTCACTCTGAAAACAGACTTTAGATTCCATAAACCTACCATATTTTGAATGTCAAGTGCTCCTCCTTCTGACTTCAGTAGTTTGTGGTGTGCCTTAATGGATCAGAAGCAACAAGAGTAGCACATCTATTAACAATAGATAGAAGGTTTCTAAATAGAATGTCTCTAAAACTTTCCTAGGCTTATTTTGGTCATTCAAGTGAACTAAAGTGCAGACAACTCTCGACTCTCAATTATCCCATAAATCAAAATGTTCTTCCAATAAGGCTTCAGATCTTACAAACACTAAACCTCATAAACGTGCAGACTATAACGTGAAGATGGTACAGCGGTGCGTGCACAACTAGCAGAAATGAGAGCTGGGCAAGGATCAATCCAGGAAGCCACAGGTAGTTTGATGTAAAGGCAAAACAAAGTTGCTAAGCCTCCAAAAGGTCAAAACTTGAATTCTGGCCTTCTTAGCAGCATACTTTTAAAACTAAACCACATCATATTGCTCTGACTCAAAGACCTCCAGTTACTTTTTCTCTCACTCAGTGCAAAAGTCAAGCCCCTGCCTGGCCTATGAGACCCCTCGTGAGCGGGCTCTGCGGTAGCTCTACGAAGTCCTCTCCCATTACTTCCCACCTTACTAACTCCACGCCAGAAGTGCTGGTCTCTTGGCTGCTTCCTAAACACAAGCACATTGCCACATCCAGGCCATTCCACTTGGTATTCCCTCTGTCTAGAATAATATTCTCCCATTTAACAGCAAGGCCTGCTCCTGTTTGCTTCAGGTCTCCATGCAAACCTCACGCCGTCAGGGTCACCTTCCCCGATCTCTCAATCTCTCTACTGAAAGAGTATCTCTCACCCCCCCCAGCACTTTCTGTCCCTCCTCCCTGCCTTCCTTTTCTCCCCAGAGCACATCATCACCTAAGGGATCACAAATTTTAGTCACATGTTTCTTGTCTTTCTCTTTCCACTAGAATGCAAACTCACAAGGGCAGCGTTTTTGTCTCCTGTGCTCATCCTGTACCGCCTGGATCTACACACAAAATAGACTTGGTACACAATACTCAATAAATATTTGCTAAACTGTGTGAGGAAGGCAGCAGGGAAAGGCAGGGAGAGTTCCCAATTTTTGTGGAATCCATAAAGTGAAAAGAAAATAACTAAAATATTCAGGATGTATTTTTAAGTGCACATACATAAAAAAAGAAGGTAGTCTACAAAAGTGAATACATAGTATAATTAGAGATTATGTTAAAACAGAGAAACTAACGAAAGTTATCTCAGTGTTGTGAAATTATGGATAATACTGTTTACTTCTTGACATCTTCAGTTCTTAGTTATTTACACTGTGATGAATTATTTTTGTATTAAAATATTTTTTAAAATAATAGATACTATCTCGTCTCTTTTAGAATTCTATTCATTGAAAATTCATTATTTTGATCAAAGAAAGGTCAAGAATGTCTACTGAACAATATACAGAGCTCACTAGCTGGTCACCAAAGTTCTGGCAAATAGTTTGTCCTTTGGTTCTTTATACCAATAGCACTGACAGAAGATAGGCGGCTGAAGGTGTCAGCGGTCCATTCTATTGACAAAGGGCATTTGCAGCTGCATATCATATTTAAGGGGCAAAAAAAACCCACTCTAGTTCTTTTCATTCATTTTAATATGCAAATGGAAAAAATGTTAATACCACTATTAGATTGAATAGATACTGCAAGAGTATTTATAAGCTACACACACAAATAAAATTCAAAAACACATCAGTTTTATATTTGATGCTGAGGAAAATCACAGCACATCAATAGTGGTTATGCTCGTTATATCGTTAGATAAAGAAATGGAAGAAAAAAAAGATAAAGAAAAGGAAAACTGTTCCTCAAGAGCTTAGATGGATATTCATTAGCTATTATCACCTAACGTTTCAGTGTATCCTTACAGAAATAAAAGAAACATATAAATAAAAATTTAGAAAAAGGCAAAAAGATGGAAGCTAGTAAATCTAATACACATTAGATTTTGGGTAGCGTCAACATCTGACATTTTTCTGCTATTTAATGATATAATCTGAGTGAAAACAAAAAGAAAGAAAGAGAACACAAGAAAGCTCTGGAACTAAATTTCTTTCTCATAAGCTTTGGTCAAACGCATGGTTGATGAAGCCATGAGACAATATTCTCACATCTTTGATTTTATTTCAGTGGGTTCCAGAAAATACAGTAATGGAGAAATACACTTCTCTTTCTATTTCATGCCTAAAAGTTTAAATTTAGTATGTTGCTCAAATTAATTCTCAATGTTCCATTTTAAGCCTCTACATTAAAAGACTTGTGCATTTTATTCCTTAATATAACTGGCAGGGTCTCAGTGAGCACTGCTACTTGATTTACAGAGCAGACTTTTATTACTGAACTTCAAGCTATTTTCTAGGAATAAATTATAGTGACTATAACCAAAAAAAAAATATTTTTTAAGTCCCTCCAAAAGAAAAATTAAGGAGTATAAAATATTGTAATTATATATTATATTAATTAAGAGCTATATTCCTACAAGCATAAGTAAACAAAATAGTTTGGAATATGGCAGATATCTACTAAGAGTTAACATCGGACTTCTAGGATATTAACGATCATGATTAGTACAAACGGCAGTGAAGACAATATGTTGAACTTTTTCGGCCCTAGGAAGGTGAGACAGCAAGTCGCACTGGTCCATACAGCATACCTTCAGAATTCAGGTTTTCTTGGCAGGTATATGCTCAGCTGTCAAGACCAGCTGGCAATATTGTAGCTCATCAACTATCCACTGCGGGCGAGGGGTTGTGGGCTGGGAGACTGTGGAAGCACACAAGCTTCTTTTCCACAGGCTTCGCTCTGTCCTCTCCCTGAGGTTCCGACACCTCCTAGGAGGGTAGTCTTCAAATTGGAAGTACAAGAACACTTTCTGAAGGATCCAGGGAATTCAGGGAGTTTTAAATGAACCACTTTCCAGAATCTTTTAAAAAGAAATATTCCTAAGAACATAACTTTTCCGCCAACATCATCTTTATTTCATTTCATAAGACAAAGACAAACCTCTCACCCGAACTGAATCTTACTTTGGTATATTGCTCTACGGTGTGAACTCTCTAAGCATCAAAGACAAAATTTTATATATTGTAGCTAGCTATGCGAGAAAGTGAATGACGCCTATGACTAGGTAAAAAATGCTCAATTCTTTAAACAAATTGAAAGAACTAGTTAAGCTATCACTGAAAAATTATTTAAAATAATTTTGATGATCTATTACTAAAAGTTTTTTAACATATAATGCAAACGAGTTTGTGGTAGGCAAAATAACAGCCCCCAAAAGAGATCCACATCTTAATCCCTGGAGCCTGTGAATGTTACCTTATACGACGAAAAAAAGAATTTGCAGATATGATTGAGTTAAGGATCTTGAAATGAGGAGATTATCCTGGATTATCTGGGTATGCCCTAAATGCTACTATTCTAAGAGAGAAGCAGAGGGAGACTTGACACAGACAGAAGAGGAGAACACTATGTGACCATGTAGGCAGAGATTAGAGTGATGCAGCCATTAGCCAAGGCATGCCAGCAGCCACCAGAGGCTGGAAGAGGCAAGGAATGAATTCTCTCCTAGAGCCTCCAGAGGAAGCACACTCCTGATGATACCTTGATTTCAACCCAGTGATACTGATTTCAGACTTCTGGTCTTCACTGTGAGAGAATAAATTTCGGTTGTTTTGAGCCACCGAATTGTTACAGCAGCCACAGGAAACTAATACAGAATTCAAAGACTTGAATGGCATTGCCAAAACAAACTCCTTCCCTTCTCACCTACTTACTATGGGAACATGTTTTTTAACACTAATATCTGTAAAAATAAGAAAAGGGGAGATAAATTTGTTGCCAAATCCTGTCTCACTCTAGCAGAAGAAAGAAAATTCTTTATAACTTATTAAAAGATTTGGGGAAAAAAGCCCTCTATAGTTCACAATACAGAGATACATTTCCAATTTAAAAAAATTTTTAGAAGATTACTTTTTATGTTCATAACTTAAAAATGTGAAGGAGTTACTTACAGTCATGTGCTACATAACAATGTTTTGGTGGATGACAAATATACGATGGTGGTCCCATAAGATTAGTACCATATAGCCTAGAATTGTAGTAGGCTAGACCATCTAGGTTTGTCTAAGTACACTCTATGATGTTCGCACAACCAGTAAAATCACCTAACGACACATTTCTCAGAACGTATCCTTGTCGTTAAGCAATGCATGACTGTATTTCTTCAAGAAAACTTTAGGGTGTACACTCCCGTATAGACAACCACCACTGTGGATACTTCCCATGTCTGCACTACAATCAATTCAAAAAGTAGTCCAGATGACAGCTTATTTTATTAACTTCTCAAAAAATGTTCATCGGGCTACTAAAGATTATGATAAAATTAACCTTTCCATCAATTTGGACTCTATGTTTTAGTTCCCAAATTCCCATAGATCATTATTTAAACAAAGAGGGAAGGTAAATGTGTAATATTTCTATCCTTATTTCCATTTTGTGCTACTTTCTTTGTCTCTCAACCACCAACACCAAAAATAAAAAGAGTAAAGAAAAGGACTATTTACAACTCTCTTCTATTTTTCTAGACCTGAAGAAAATCTTTGCCATACGATCAAAACTATAAGGAACAGAAAAGCAATGATGTGACTATAATTCTGTATCCTTACCTAGACCTATGTGAGGCAGATGCTCAAAAAGGGTCCAGCTGTGGTCATCAATGTAATGATTCTTCAGGATCAACAGCTGGCAAACATCTCGGGCAGTTATGTCACTGGGTACCTCTAAAGCCCTGCTGGTTTCATCTTCACTGTATACTTTAATTACCTGTGTAGGTAGAAATAAGAAAATAAGCTAAAATATTCTATTAAAAATATCATTCTAATAAGTCATCAAACTTATTGATTGAGCTGATTACAAATTCCTCATACAGTTTCTTGTACATCTAATCTTCTTATACATTGAGTGAATGTTGTCTATCCAAGACTGGTTTGTAACATGAGTCAAAGTCACTCTGCCAACAACTTAAACTCTCTTCTCTTCAGTGTCTAAACTAGAGGCCACTCAATGACCATTCAATGTCATTTCCCCACCTCTCTGGCCTATTAAAAATCTATGTATCTCTTACCAATATTTTAAATTTTCCATTCCTTATTTAAGTCCTGTAAATAAGCCAGGTAACATGAGTGATTTATTCCCAGATATACACAAGTAGTAAAAGCAGTAAACAGAATCAGACTTTATGAAAAGACTTCTTTATTTCAGGTTATAGAAATTCTGGCAAAGACTGGCTAGATGTTCACCAAATACTTTTTCTTTTCTCCTTTGCAGTTAGGCATATCCATGGGATTGAGTTTTCGTCAAGGGAATACAAGCACATGAGGTGTTGGACTTTCAGGCCTAGTTCATAAAAATCTCCCACATATTGTCCTCCGTTCTCTTACACCACCCTCCCACTGAAGGTAAGTGACTACAAAGACCTAGAAGAGGGGAAAGCCATGGGATAGAAGGAGGCTTTGTCCCTGAATGACCACAGGGAAGGTGCCCAACTAGGAACATCCATATGGAATTTCTACATGAGCAAGAAATAAACTTTTATTATGTCAACTCACTGTGAATTTGTATTTATCTATTACAGTAGCTAATGTTATCCTAAATCATACAGAATTAGAGAGAGTTTCATATATGACACTCCCTTCAACATTTATCAAGTTGTGCTATGTGTTAGAATTTGCACTATTAATTATTGTATGTCATATATTAATTAAATTAATTATAAGAAGATAAATACCTCTGACAATAGTAAGATCAACACACACACACACAAAAGTGAGAAATGGTAAAAAAATTCAATATAAGAAATACACCTGTTACAAAAATATAAACATTTCAACATTGTTAGTAACTCAATCAAATGCAAAGTAAAATGATGTAGCAATTCTGTCCTGTCAATCAGTTTTTTAAATTACACTTAATGACAGTGCAATGAAATAGTTGCCCTCTTACAATGATAGGAGTGATATAAATTGGTAAAACTATTTTGTACACCTATCGGAAAGTGTTTATCCAAAGCATTAAAGGTCCACTCCTTTGAGTCAGTAATTTCACTTAGGCAAACTATCTCAATAAATCTGTCCTAAATGTAGAAAACGGCTTTAGATGTGTGCAGCAAAGCATTATGTATAATTCTATCAACCTAAATCTTCAGCAAGAAAAAGAACAGTAAACTACAATACTTGCACAGAATGGAATATTATATGGTGCTTAAAAGTGTTAGTCAAGGAATGATATAAGAACTTATAAAAATTCTTAAGTAAAATAAAATCATAACACTTAAGTATATGTTACGTGGTACAGTACAAACTTACTTGTTGGACTGGCTACCAGGCACCCACCCCTCTCCTGCTAACAGTATTCCGGTCACCTTGCAGAGCACCACTCCCTCCCTCACCATCAGTCTTTGTGATTCTGGAAGCTCCATCTGCAGCTCAGTGATGGTGTGCTGGAACTGCTGCAACTAGCTTGTAAGAGCTGGTTGTTAAACATGCAGGGGCCTGCCCGATGGCACAAGTGGTGAAGTGTCCACCCTCCGCTGCGGCGGCCCGGGGTTCACCGGTTTGGATGCCGGGCGCGCACCGACGCACTGCTTGGCAAGCCATGCTGTGGCGGCGTCCCATATAAAGTGGAGGAAGATGGGCACAGATGTTAGCCCAGGGCCAGTCTTCCTCAGCAAAAAAGAGGAGGATTGGAAGATGTTAGCACAGGGCTGATCTCCTCACAAAAATAAATAAATAAATAAAATAAACATTCAGGAATTTGCAAGCCAGCCATCTTGAAATCAGCCATGGTGGGAGTACATACACCAAAGAAACTGGCAAATGCTACAAATAAGGCTTTTATTTAAAAAAAAATTATGTTTAGAGCCAGTTTACCAATGCACCACTGCCTCAGCTCCAGATAGAAGATGTTACCTAGATTGATCAATCAGCACCCAGAATCCCCCTGGCAACAGTGATTATTTTAGAGATGGGTACACGACCTAAGTAGAGCTGGTCAGAGCCAATCTGGACATCTGTTCACAATACCAAAGAGTGGGCCCTCTTTTCTCCTGGGCAGATGTAGAGTGAAGTGGGTACTCTTCACAAAGAGAAAGGTTGTGGGAAATGGAGCCCACATGGAGTAAGCCATGCCAAGACATGAAAAGAGTCCTGAGAATATCGTTGAGCCCCTGGATTAAGGAGCATTTGAATTCTCTGTTTTTATCACACATGTGCGTAATACCCACCTCCTCATCTCCCTTCTTCCAGCTACAGACACCCTCCAATTCATTCTCCATACTGCTAGCAGAATAAACTTTCTAACAGCCAAACCAATCAGGTCATTCTGCTCCTAAACTTCTTCAATGGCTCCTGCCTGTCCTAGCTCAAGAAGCTCATTGTGTTTATTAAGACCCCACACAAGGTGAAGGTCCTTTGCTAAGTGTTTTAACAACGGACAGAGATGGTTGTTGCTCTCAAAGAGCTTAAAATCTAGTGGGGAAAGCAATATTAAAAAACAATAATTACAAAGCACAAAGGCATAAAAAGGCAGCATGTTACTAAATCATAAAATGGGGGTTAGGAGCCCAAAAAATATCCGTGAAGAAGTGATATTTAAGCCAAGACCTGAAGGAGAAGTGGGCAGGAGCTAGGCAAAGAGATGGTAAGAGTATTTCAGGCTAAGGGAACAGAGCCTGTGCAAAGTCCCTGGGGCAGGAAGGCTTGGCAGGTTCTAAGGATTGAAAAGAGTCCGGGATGGCAGGAGCAGCAGACAGGGAAACTGAAGTGGGAAGCATCCAATGGTGAGTGATAGGAATGTAAGATCCTAAGTTTAGAGTTGACTTGAGAATCATCAAGCTTATAGATAGTAAACAAACACATGGACACGGATATGTCCGACAAGAGAGAAAAGGGAGAACAAAGAAAAAAGAGAATCTAGGACTGAACCCTCAGAAATTCCAATATTTAATGGTGAGTTAGAGGTAAGAAAGCCTAAAAGATAAAGTGAGGTAGGAAGAGAACCAGGGAAGTGGGACCCCATGGAATAAAGGCTAAACTCATTAGCATGCACACTCTCCAGCAAACCAGCCCACGGAACAGGTCACATCGTGATCCTAGCCAAATATGAGGAACACTTGCAATCCGTTCTTTCGTAGTTGCACGTGAGGTGTCCTCTACCTGGAATCAATGCTCCAACCACCAACAACATCCTTTATTTGGCAAATTCCTGCTTATCATTTGGCCCCAGGTTCCACGGCACTTCCTCCAGAAAGTTTTCCCTGACTACCCATGGCTTTTCAATGTCCCCCTCTTACATGCTCTTATTTTGTAATCTTCTATTTGCAGGTTGTGTTTTTCCTCAACTGTACTAGAAAGCACCTTTAAGGGAAATCTCTTTATCCACCATTTGACAGTGTATCACAGGGACCTAGCCCACGGCAGTGTATTGCTTAATAAAGATCTTTGGAACGAATGAACTCTGTACCCCTGCAAAGCCTATCCAAGTATTAGGTACTCAATACATATATATTTTTTGTGTGTGTGAGGAGATCAGCCCTGTGCTAACATCTGCCAAACCTCCTCCTTTTGCTGAGGAAGACTGGCCCTGGACTAACATCTGTGCCCATCTTCCTCCACTTTATATGGGACGCCGCCACAGCATGGCTTGCCAAGCGGTGCGTCGGTGCACACCTGGGATCCGAACCTGCGAACCCCGGGCCGCCGCAGCGGAGCGCGTGCACTTAACCGCTTGCGCCACCGGGCTGACCCCTCGATACATAGTTTTAAGTTTTAATTTAAAAATATTTTCTGTCACAAAGCGTATGATTAATTAAAATTCTTCTCAATGAGCAACAGATATACAAGGTTTCTTATAAATAATCCTAAGTAAGAATTGACTGAATATTGCTGTTAATGGGCAGTTTTGAGATTTGAAGTGATTGAGGCAGCTATAAAGCCATATCAAAAAGGTCATGAAAATAGACTGCCAAAATCCGACGCAATTATCTGAGCTTTCACTTCATTTATTTTTTGGTTAATACATGTGGTTCACTAAGATCCCAAGATCTGTTTGGAATCTCAGTGCTTCCCATGTTTGCATCTGGGTAAATGATTGTTCCTAAGTGTATGCTTTCAGTCTCGTATCTGTGCTAGACAACTGGAGGGATTCTAAGGGATGCCGTCCGTTATATATCCATGCTGCTGTGGTTAACGCCGCCTAGACCAGACACTGGTGGCTGCTCCTGCCAAAAGCAACATGAAGGCGACCGCTCCTGAGAGAACATGAGGATCTGACCCTGGGGCTGCTCCTTCCTGTAGAGCAACGATGAGCAGCTGTTTCAGTCCCCTCCAGGCCGCTGCACATTCCATGCCAGGAAATGGGGGGAACTGGGAGTGACCTGGCGGCTGCTGGAAAGGCTCCCTGTACTTCCTGACCACCCCATGCTGTCTTATAGGAAACTCCCGTCACCTGGGGTCACACAAGCAGGCCTCTTATTTTTCATGCTTTTTTACATATATCTGAGGAGCTAAGAAAATGAAAAACTGCAGACATTCTGAAGTTTAAGCCAAATTCAAGAAGAGAGTAAGAACAGAACAAGAGGAAAAGTTGGGGAAAATGAGAAACATATCTGACCAATCAGGAAATGCCATTACTTCCTTCAGACTATGTTGCCGCAAATTTGAAAGAAATAAGTTGCCAAGAATCAACACCTAAATTTAGAAGGGCTAAGCCAACTTAAATTTCTGAAATAGGTGCAGGGACTCATTTTTAAAATAAACAACACCCGC